AACTAATAACACTAAAATGGATAAAAGTTGTACATCTGTACTGAGGCTAAAATGGATAAAAGTGGTACATATGTACTCAGGCAGATCATTCCCTGTCAACTAATAACACTAAAATGGATAAAAGTTGTACATATGTATTTAGGCTAAAACGGATAAAAGTTGTACATATGTACTCAGCAAGATCATTCCCTGTCAACTAATAACACTAAAATGGATAAAAGTTGTACATATGTATTTAGGCTAAAATGGATAAAAGTTCTACATATGCACTCAGCAAGATCATTCCCTATCTACTAATAACACTAAAATGAATAAAAGTTGTACATATGTATTTAGGCTAAAACGGATAAAACTTCTACATATGTATGCAAGATCATTCCCTGTCTACTAATAACACTAAAATGGATAAAAGTTGTACATATGTACTTAGGCTAATCACGGATCCCTGTTCATATGTACTCAGGCTAAAATGGATAAAATGGATAAATGTTGTACATATGTACTCCGGCTAAAACAGATAAAAGTTATACATATGTACTCAGGCAGATCATTCCCTGTTCATCTAATTACACTAAAATGGATAAAAGTTGTACATATGTACTCAGGCTAAAATGGATAAAAGTTGTACATATGTATTTAGGCTAAAACGGATAAAAGTTGTACATATGTACTAAAATGGATAAAATCATATGGCTAATATGTACACTAAAATGGATAAAAGTTGTACATATGTATTCAGGCTAAAATGGATAAAAGTTTGACATATGTACTCAGGCATATCATTGCCTAAAAGTTGTACATATGTACTCAGGCTAAAACGGATAAAAGTTGTACATATGTACTCAGGCAGATCATTGCCTGTTCATCTAATTACACTTAAATGGATAAAAGTTGTACATATGTATTTAGGCTAAATCGGATAAAAGTTGTACATATGTACTCAGGCAGATCATTGCCTGTTCATCTAATTACACTTAAATGGATAAAAGTTGTACATATGTATTTAGGCTAAAATGGATAAAAGTTGTACATCTAATTATAATAAAACGGATAGAAGTTGTACATATGTTAAAATGGATAAAAGTTATACATATGTACTCAGAAAGATCATTCCCTGTCAACTAATAACACTAAAATGGATAAATGTGTGTTGTACATATGTATTTGTAAAATTCCCATGGATAAAAGTTGTAAATTTTTATGTATCTGAGCTAAAGGCTATAAGAAAATAGAAAGTATTTTGTCATTAACACACCATGTGTACTATCAAGCAATTTTAACTTTGATAATTACCCCTGTCAACTAATAACACTAAAATGGATAAAAGTTGTACATATGTATTTAGTATTTCTTAGCTACAGTGGTTTCAAGTAAGGATTATACATCACATTCTGGTTACGAACTCCTTTCTTTTCAATATTAATCTAATTCCTAGCCCTTTATGTACACTGTGTAATATGGAAAGAGAAACAATCGTTCACTGTCTATGGGAGTGTATAGAGGTACAGACTCTATTGGAGAGATTTGAATCTCTTCTTGATATTCTTCTGATTCCTTTCTGGATAAACAAAGAAACATATTTATTTGGAATTATCCATCCTAATGCTAACACTGTAGATAACAAAATTTTAATTCTCATTAAACACTATGTTTATATGTCAAGATGTCTACAAAAATCTCTTAATTTAAATGCTCTTATAAATAAGATTAAGGATCATTTCCATGTTCAAAAGTACAATTTCTCTAGCAAAAACACTATTATGAAAACAAATTTTGAGAATAATTGGAAAAAATGGACGGCCATTTTAGAACTATAGCATGTATGCTAACAAGTCTGTTCCCAATGGCCATGGCCTTGACTTTACCAAACTGACTTTAAATTTATTTAATTTCCACAAAATTAGTGCTATTTTAATTTAATAATGGCTATAACCCTCCCAATTCTGTGTGTCTCTCTTCTCTCTTTTGTTTAGGATGTATAATGTTTTGTTTTTTTATATATATAAATGTATCCATGATTTTTGTGTGTGTGTGAGTATTTTGTTAAGTACATGTAAGTTTGTTATGTGAGTGTAAGTGGGTGTGAATGTTGATGAGTGAGTTTGTGTGCAGGAAGTAGTAGATACATGTGCATGATGATAAAGATGACGATGATGATGATGATGCATGTATATGTGGAAGACATATTCAAGTCAGCCCACACAAGTGTGAGAGTGTGTGTGTATGTTTTTTTGTGGATTCTCTTGTATATATTGTGTAATATGTAAAAACTTTTCAAAAAAAAAAAAAAAAATGAATTAAAAAAAAAAAAAAAAAAATTACACTGGAACCATATGATTCATAGTTACAGTAATTACAGCCTTGGCTACTAACAAGCCAGCTTTTGACACATGAGAACCATAGTACATACACCTTGTGTACCATAACCTAATACCTCAGACACTTTGCCCCAAACAATCATCTCAGTACTGGGCAATATTTCAGGGGTTTGTTTACATTTCACATTAAATGTCAATTTCACACAGTTTTCGGAAAAATCTAAGGCAATGTTGCTCGATTTCAAATAATTTGTAGCCAAAATAAGCGGGTGTGATACCTGGTCAATAATATACACTGTAATTGTACGGATACTCTGGGTATGTGTTTAGACCTTGACCTGTGCTTGAACTTCAACACTTACAACTTGAATGTTAGCCAATCTCATACTTTCATTTTCTGAGCTATGAACTATACCCTTTCAAACATCTAGAGATCAAATTAATTGAACTTCCTGAATCTAACAATGCTGACATTTTTATGTCACCAATAGTAAGAGGCATGAAAAAAAAAAAATGTGAAAAATTGTAATTCTTACATACGTCATTTTCCTGGTCCCTGTATACTTGGCGTTGAAAGTTATTACATTCTAGTCTTTCCCCAGACGATGGCGCCTGTATTCGCCTGGGAGGAGTCAGTTTACCACACACAAAGCTGCGGTATGTCCATATTGGTTACATAATTGGCACAGAGTTTCTGGGGTACACGACCTTTGGTCATTCCATTTACACTTAGCTTTAGTGTGGCCTTGTCCTTTACACTTAAAACATGTGCGTCCAGAACCACCAAATGTCAGTCCTTGACCTTGGAAAGACTGCTGGCACGACTGAGAGTTCAAGAGAGTGGATAACGTTGACTCTGTTCCAGAGAATTACCTGCACTGACCATAGCACTGCTGCTCTCCTGTTCAAACATAGCTGTCTGCACCATGGGTGGTGCGGGTGTCACATGCTGGGTCGGTGCTGGTACCGACTGAGCGGTGGGTGTAGCTACAGGAACTGGTACTGGCTGAACCTGGGGCTGTGATGCAGAAAAGGGATATGCTGTATAACATAGCTTGTAAGCCTCCCCCATTTTGGCTTGAGATAAGGCCTCTGCGAAAGATCTAGGTCTACCGGAGCGCACATACAGTTTCAGCTGATCAGGGAACCCATCTATAAATCTATTCATAATGTAAATATCTGGCTTCCTCAAATGTTGCCCTTTTTGCACTAAGACTGAGTGAAGTCCTCAATGGGTTGACCAGCCTTCAACACAATCATGTTGAAAAATTCATTATCTGCTATTAACTGTGGGTTCAGACTGGGGTCAGTTGATAAATACTGTTGCTCAAAAGCCTGCTTTACCCTTGGCCATGTCAGCAATGTCCTGGTGCAGGCCCCGATAGATGAAGATGAAAAGCTTCTTCCAAATGGATAAAAATAGTATAACCAGAGGTCATGATAAGAAAATCTTCAAAAAACGATGTCGTCTTGACGGCAGGAAGCATTTTTTCAGTCGGCGAGTAATTGACTTATGGAATAGTTTACCACAAACTCTTGTCAGTGCTAAATCTGTAATCAAATTTGAAATTATGTTACATGAACATTGGAAAAATAACTGTTTCACATTCGATCATAAACATGTATGTACTTTGTAGCTGTTAAACTGGAAGTTGAATTTGTTTTTATTATGCTTTGTAATGTACATGATATGGACAAAGAAGCTGTGAAGCCCGAGTCCATTATTTATGCTATTAAATGCTATTAAATAATTTGGGCGTCTCTCATCTCTAAGTCTCTTGTAGAATGACATAAGATGTAAATTCTGGTAAAAATTTGCAAAGGTTCTCAAATGCATACCCGTTAAAAGTTTGTACTTGCCTATGTTACGGCCGGATATTTTGACAAGATGTATGTGTGGGCTAACAGGTACAGTACCTACAAAACAAGGAGAGTCAGGTTTTACTTGAATGTCATTTTAATGGCACGCTGCAGCAGAACATTTCATACTACAAAAGTACATTCTATAACACATCTTACAACATGACATGATTCCACTCACCGAATAAACTTAATAAGCGACTGTGACTAAACTGTGACAAGACATGACAAAGTGTGACCAAGCGTGACAATGTGACTATAAGTGACATTGTACCCTGTACCTCATGTAACACTTTCTCATGGTTTGTCGCTCATTAATTTAACAGACAAATTATATGTGACTCAATCCACCTGTTATAATGAATGACCATAACTGTTTGACTGATTGTGACCAATCACCAACCTAGAAAATAAAGTGACAAATCATTCTCTTCTATATATTGCTATTATCCATTTTGACAAGTCGAGTTCCAACAATTAATACCCACTTCCAATAGATTCTGACTTCGAATCAAATATGTGACTAAGTGACTTGATGACTGCAGGCCTCAAATTTAACATTTTTTGTCACTTGCTGGTTACACTATATTCTCTCCCACAGATGATATAGATTTGGGATAGGACATACATGGGTTACACCATATTCTCTCCCACAGATGATATAGATTTGGGATTGGACAGACATGGGTTACACTATATTCTCTCCCACAGATGATATAGATTTGGGATTGGACAGACATGGGTTACACTATATCCTCCCTACAGATGATATAAATTTGGTATTGTACAGACATGGGTTACACAATATTCTCCCCACAGATGATATAGATTTGGGATTGGACAGATATGGTTACACTATATCCTCCCCCACAGATGATATAGATTTGGGATTGGAAAGATATGGTTACACTATATCCTCCCCACAGATGATATAGATTTGGGATTGGACAGCATGGGTTACACTATATTCAGAGGTGGAAACATGAGATAAAAATTGACATCACTCACTGTAGAAGACACTGTTCACATAATTGCTATTTGATGAGGTTCCGGCTAAGTTGGTTGATGTGCAGTAGTAGTTTCCAGCAAGAGCTGATGCTGCATTCAATATGGTGACAGTATTTCCAGTTACTACGTAATTAGATCCAGAGGTCAAGGCTGTACTACTCCCTGCTTTGTACCAGGCGACAGCGTAATTCGCCAGAGAACTTGTGACCGACCATGTAAGTGTTAGGCTATTCCCAGTCAGTACATTACTTTGGTCTGGTGTAATGGGAACAGTTGACGACGCTGGTGGAATAAAACAAGCAAAGTTGGGTTGCATAGAAGAAGAAGCAGTGATTTTTTGGTAAAAATGTTGTTGGTCCTCAATATCATAGTGTGACATTTAAGCTTACTTATCCTCTGATGATCTAAAACTGATGGGTTGGATACAACTTTGCTCAAAAGCTTGCTTTTTTCCAACTTAGTAAACATCGATATCAAATCAATTTTCTCAAATTCAAGTAGTTTTACACTGAAAGTGATAAAAATGAAACATTTATAGAGATCAGATACAATACATAGTGAGAGTTTAAGTGGTAATCTATACTTACAATACACAGTGAGGGTTTTGGTGATAATCATTGGTGCGGTTAGTGTCTGTGGATGGCCGACTCTACATTCCAAAAGCTTGCCGTTGTCCGCTGTCTGAATTGTACGGGTATACCAGCAATCTACAGTATATGTAGTATCTACTGTAGTAATATTGCTGAGGTCCGCAGTGACATCACACCTCCCAAAATACCAAACAATGCTGGGTGCATGGTAACCTCCTACAGTCTGGCAGTACCAAGTGTTTGATGTCCCTACAAATAAGGTCGTCAAGCCAGTCATGGTTGGATTTCCAGGAGTAACTGTGAAATGTCAAGAAAATATGAAATTAACTACTCGGCTAGAACCTCCTGTAGATATCTCAGGCTCAATTTAATCTTGGGAACAGGATTTTACTTAATGTGTTGATATTCAGATATAAGATACAAGAGCTCATCCACAGTCATGTAATGAAGTTGACTCCATAAAATATGACAAATCTGAGTTAGCTATTTTCAGTTAACAAGACATCCCACAGAGATCTTGGTGCCCTCCTCCTCTGATGATGAAAATCCTCAAAAGTGACATAACACTTCCTAGTACTGTATTTGAAATATTTTTTTTAAAGTAGAAATATTATGATACCAAGGCAATTGCTTAATGATTCAAGTAGATTTTTTTCGCAGGGGACTAATAACAAAAATGAAGCAACATTTTGTGCAGGTTGCTGCACTTCCAGTTGTTTATTTCAATTCTAAAACCAAGCAATGATCGCTGTTAGTCACTTTATCTATATTGCTGGCATGTTATTAGGATTTTGTGGATTCTCAGTGAAAACAATTTCTGCTGATATTGGAAATAACTCCTTAAGGTACATTAATTTACATGTTTTACTTTCAATATTTTCATTTGCATGTGTCTTCAATGATATCTGTTTACAAACAATCTAACAGAGTGAGATCAAACAGAACAATAAGTATGCCTTTGTCTACTGCAGCTCACTGATTATCAGGGTCTTTTCTTTAACTGTTTTAACCCCAAACCAAACCAAGTAAACATCTATTCATTTTTATTCTTAAGATTCAAAATTTTATTAAAATGAGCTATCTGAGGTAATTTTCCAGCAAGCATTAACAAGAAGCCCATGGGACAAGTACCGCTCCCCTGCTTTGGTTTGGTCACCATTGCTTGAGCCAAACAGAATTAATTTGAAGGATTTCAACTTCTTTTGTGAAGGAGTCAGACCTTGGATTTCAACTCGCAAATAGCTAGTAAAAAGCGTTAAATTCGAGGCCTGTACTAGAGAGTGACTAGAGCAATACATGGCACTACACACAAGTTTCGACTGATATCGTCACAATATTTCATACTACATAACATTACGATATTAACTCATCACTGATAATGATCCTACGCATTAGATCAGATAAAATGCCTCAATATTAATTCATAGCATGAACAGAAATATGAACTTAAATAACATCAATGTTACTTGTAATTACCTAGATATGTGTTTTTGGATTGATGATGAATTGTACTCTCTGAGTTTTATTTCTTATCATACAGATCAATCTTACTCTGACAATCAATTCAATCAATCAATACACATCATTTCAATAAAATTTCTAAAAACTTTGGTAAAATTATACACAACTTGGTTCAGTAACAATATTCATTTATATTGGCCTGACAATCGCCAACTCACATGTACCATCCATATAAAGCGGGATAACTCGAATAACAAAAGTTGAGGCTCCGTCAACATACAATACACCATTCTGTCGATCTAACTGCATCAGGATATAACTACTGTGCAACAATGCAACACTATGTTAATATGTATCATTACAATGGAAATGGGGAATATACGAACATACTACAATGGAATTCCAACAACTCCTGACAACTATCGTTAAGATTGACTAACCCGTGAACATGGTGCGAACTATGTGGTCAGGCGATCAAACACCTCGCTTCAATTATTCGTAAAATTACTCAAATGTTGGATTTCCTGAACACTTACCCTTAGCAATTATGATCCTGGTTCCTTACCACACCATTTAGTCACATGCAATCACATTCAAACAACATTCTCTAGTACTTACCTGTAAAACAAGGAAGAGTCAGGTTTTAGTTGACTGTCATTTTAATGGCGCCGCAGCAGAACATCCGGGAATCTGTGATGATTTTATTCAGTTAGAGTTATCTCCCTTTATGCAACCTACCTAATTAATGTAATTAACGATGATTTACTAATGTGTAAATGAAACTAGTGTTTTCTATATGTAATCATACTTTATAAGTGAATAAATGTATATGTCTTACGTATTTTGGGTTATGAGATATTTTTTGGCGTTTTAATGTGCAAAATAATGGGACACCCAGAATGTTACACCAAATTTTATATAAAGGCTAATTGAAACCAGTGCTGAAAACGGGAAGTTCTGACACACAATACGATACATACTGCTATCAGAAGCTCTTGCATAAGGGGTCGCCTGAATAAGGCTACTCTGGTAACAGTTATTGTAGATTAGTCAATCTACGACAAAAATGGGCCCAACCTCCAACTAATTGCAACAGGATTTTTTGTGTTTTCCTTGCACGTACATATACAAATGTCAACATATCAAAAGTCTAGAAAAATCTAAATAGGGCAAAGACTTTAAAATTGATTTTTATTTCGACGCCATACCACAACTTTTGGGGGCTTTTGATTATTTGTTTCAGCCATAATCATCATGTTATGACAGAGTCAATAATATTTATAACATGATTTAATTTCATAGAATGTCAACCGTATGCCTAGTCACTGATAGATAATTTAAATATCAGGTTAACATTTTACTAAAAATGAGTATAATTAAATAGACATAATATAACCCCCCCCCCCACAAAATATAACCTAATCCCCACCCCCCCCCCCCAATCCACACAAATACTTTTCAAGATTTTTTTTTTCAAGATTTCATTTAGCCACCCAGACACATGAAAATGTGTTCCATGAGGTACAAAAGTAATACCTATTAAACAGCACATGGCAAGATGGACAAAATATTTTTGGTTACAAACTTCGATTACAATTACATTTATAATCAATAATAACTTGGTTTTGTATAAAATGCCTACTTATAGTACTTACACGTATAACACATTAACCTATAGCACTTACTCATTTAACACTTATAACAGTTATTCTTATAGCACTTATACCTAAGCACTTATACCTAAGGCACTTATACATATAACAATTATACTTATAGCACTTATACCTAAGGCACTTATACATATAACAATTATACTTATAGCACTTATACCTAAGGCACTTATACATATAACAATTATACTTATAGCACTTATACCACTTTCACGTAAAGCACTTATACTAATAGTACTTAATACACCTAAAGCACTTATACCTATAGCATTTATATTTATACCACCTTCATATATAGCACTTTTAATTATAACACTCAAACCTTTATCACTTTTACCTCTGACACTTACACTTCTAACACTTGCACTTATAGCACTTACACTTTCAGCACTTATACTCATAGCACATATACTTATAGCACTTATACTCATAGCACTTATACTTATAGCACTTATACTCATAGCACTTATACTCATAGCACATATACTTATAGCACTTATACTCATAGCACATATACTTATAGCACTTATACTCATAGCACATATACTTATAGCACTTATACTCATAGCACTTATACTCATAGCACTTATACTCATAGCACATATACTTATAGCACTTATACTCATAGCACTTATACTCATAGCACTTATACTCATAGCACATATACTTATAGCACTTATACTCATAGCACTTATACTCATAGCACTTATACTCATAGCACATATACTTATAGCACTTACACTTTCAGCACTTATACTCATAGCACTTATACTCATAGCACTTATACTCATAGCACATATACTTATAGCACTTATACTCATAGCACTTATACTCATAGCACTTATACTCATAGCACATATACTCATAGCACTTACACTTTCAGCACTTATACTCATAGCACTTATACTCATAGCACTTATACTCATAGCACTTATACTTTCAGCACTTATACTCATAGCACATATACTCATAGCACTTATACTCATAGCACTTATACTTTCAGCACTTATACTCATAGCACTTACACTTTCAGCACTTATACTCATAGCACTTATACTCATAGCACTTATACTCATAGCACTTATACTTTCAGCACTTATACTCATAGCACATATACTCATAGCACTTATACTCATAGCACTTATACTTATTATCAAATTATAGCAATTTTAGTCAATTTCCTAAGGAAAAGTTTAACATTACAGATACTACAGTGTAATAAGTCCAATCCAATACTAGGATTTTGGCGGTAATACACGAATGTTTGACACGAATACGAACAGGTAGTGAAACTCGTCTCCTGTGCTATCATTACACAAATGACATATTCTGTTTTGTTTTGCCACACTATGCCATCTTCCATTTCCAATAGGAATATTTAAATTTGACATACGAAATTTAGTTAAAAACTTCCTATTCATCTCAGATAATTTTACCAAGTATTCTTCAAATCTAAATTCTTTCTTAAACAATAAGTAGGTCTGTCCTGTTGAAGAGAGTTCGGCATCTGAGAACCACTTCTGAACTACTGATCTTGAATACGTTATTTTATAGAGTATCTATAAAAAAAACTCTCCATCATTTGTTTTTCGTTAATAAAGATGTTTGAGCGACCCGATTCGTCAAAAATCTTTTTTACAAAAGTGATCCATTTAAAACTATGGACTCCTTCAGTACGTAAATTTTGGGTCAATTTGTAGAGTATACTACTATGTTTGTTTACATTGAGTATAAGTCTATTCCAGAATGACAGCATTCTCAATTTAATTTTAATTTCAAGGTGGAATCTTCCAAGCTCCCAATACACCATATAATTTGGGGTAATATTTCTTAATTTTAAAATTCTTTTACAAAATTTGAGATGAGTTTGTTCAATACGTTTGTTGTCTTGAAATCCCCATACTTCTGATTCGTACATCATTAGACAATGTGTTTTCAAAAGTTATCAAATGTAGTATTTATTACTTATATTTCAACCAAACTTTTTCTGTTTCAGAGTTATAAAAAAGGTAATAGGTCAAATACGGCCCGATAAATTGAAAAAAATATCTTGAGGATACTCGTCCCTTATCAAAGGTTCCTTCAGAACCTTGCTAGGAATTTTTCATTTGGAAAAGTTTTCAATATAAAATTAAAGCATTTTGATAGACTTAGATTTTTAAATTATATTACATCATTATATAGCATTGCTGAAATTAGAGACGCTTGTCCACATTTTCTTTGTGTTTTGCTTTTTCAATACTTTGGCGGTTAAATTTAAAAAACATTAATCATACATACCGCCTTATAACATAAAAAAAACAATGCGTAACCTTTGCCAAATACTAGGCATAGCGTACAAGTGTTGATACATGCATTCCTTCAAATTTATCATTCCTTATTTCCAGTCCCATGGATTCTGTATATTTGGTTTTGAATTTCAGAAACTTAGTAAACAAAATATTTCGCCATTAAGCTGAAATCTCCCGTGTAAGAGCATTAGAAAACCATTGTGTGTGCCAATGTATTATTAGATTTCATATGAATCTGCATGAAAATCGAATCGAAACATTAAGGTACATTTATTTTTGTCATTTAGGTTAATAATGGAAGATTGAAAAAAACATGCTTTACTCAGGTCTATGTGCATTGCTCTTCATCAACTATGTGATGGGCTCTTCCGGAATGCACAGATGTAGCTATAGCCCTTCCGGCAGTTCCGTTTGTACAATAAGACTTTGACCGTTGGAACAACTGACACCTCTACATCCACCACAACATGGAGAACATTCCAATCCATGTTTTGCTGCAGCTACATCTTTTCGAATCGCAGCTGGTTTTGCAGTTGCATCGAATCACTTTAAGGAGAAAATCCGGTGCTGGCGGGAGGTGGGTTCTCACTGGAAGCAGCCTATCATTATCGGTATACCATCCCCATTCATCAGGTGACAGGGTTTCCTCTGGTCTCATCCATTGCTGTACCTGTAGGTAAATGCGTTTGCTATGATAAGCAGCAGCAGCAGATGTTGGCGGTAATGTACTAACCTGAACACAGGTTGTACTCATCATGACCTTGTTAGAAAACTTTTTATAACGAAGGACATCCAGTCCCTCGGAACACTCGCCGTTGTATAATTCCACTTTTACTTTTTCGCCCGCTGCTACTATCTCCTCTTGAGATGCCTTTCTGCAAAACATACTACCTAGTTCACATAGGTAAGAATCATTTTGAATTTCCTATACCGAACAATCGAGATGTGGTATCGCATCCAGTAATGGCATGCAAGAATGGCAGAAGAAAACATGTGGTTGGTCCAAGGATTTTCTTTGTTTTTTTGATGTCCCACACCTTGATTTTCTTTGTTCCGGAGGGAATTGACTGGAAAAAGATTTCGTTTGCTTTCAGGTCAGCATAAAAGAGCAAAAGAACCAGAAGATCTGTGTCCTCACCAATTAATACTGTTACAGTGTTATAGGCGCTCTCTACAGCTGTTTTAACGATCAGGGTATCGGCATCGCCCACTGCGTGAACTGTGTTGCATCCACTCTTTTCCAGTTTTTCACTCAACAGATTCAAGAAGTTTTGTTTGTTTTCAGCATTGGCAAGGAAGAGCTCTTTCTTTGTCCGGAACGGCGTGTTCTCTGTAAAGGTAACCTTTGCACCAGCAACTCCTCCTGTTCGTCGTACGTTTTGTGTGTGACTGATTTCGTGGGTACTCCCAGTCGAACTTGCCCAGACTGATTATCAGTCGAACAAGTTACGATATATTTCAAAACATCTCAGCTCAGGCTTATGATACAAGTACATTATATTGGAAAATGTGTATACCAATGTGTACATATCTGAAATTGGAACTACTTCACGTGAACAAGTATGTGACACATATTAGTGTAAGAACAATATTGGATTGTATATTTTTCTTATTACAACTACTTTGCATATTAACCAGCATAATTACAATAACTGCCTTCAAATAACAAACATAAAACTATAATACACAATAATCATCAACTATAATGAAAGAATTTGCCTTTAAATTACCATCGCTATAACTAACGTCATAAACTAACCAAATCGACATATTTACGGCGACTATAGGTTTCCATAGTTTTTTACCGCGTACAAACTGGTATAGTATATTTGACAGTGATTTAGAAAAAAGTGTATTTGAAATACAATTGAATAAGATACTCAAAATTAACGTACGGTACTTGGCCCAGGTTCGGTTATCGGAGCAGACAACACATCCGTTCCAGGCTAAAATATGTACACAACATTAAAAATCTTCTTTTAATTTGATTTTACAAGTAAATACCGTTTGAAGTAAGTAAGGTGGTCTCAGATTTATCACAACTTACCATACTGATAACAGCTTTTCGTATGTTTCTTCAATAAATCGATAGCCGACAAAATGTAAACAAACCGTGTTTGCCAACAGAAATTATCTCCCTTTGCATGTACGGCGACTCATATGGATCGTACGTAATCAGTGCATTTTAAGAGGTTTTTGATCACGTTTTTTTCTACTTTCCCCTAATTAGATTTTTCTAGACTTTTACTATGTTTTATTTAGACATATTTTGATTAATATTCAACAAGAATAGTTTCTGTTGCAATTAGTTGGAGGTGAAACCATATATTGACTGGACTATTGCACGTGTGGTCGGTGCCGGTAAGTTGACGGGTCAGGTACACCAGAAGCTCCTGGATAAAGGGAAGGCGACGTCGCAGACGTACGGTGGTCAGTAGGAGGACAGGTGTACTGTCCATCCTATTGTAGTGTAGATATATATTGTTCGCTAGTTTGTGCTATCTGGAGCAGATAGCTCCGTATAAATTGAGAACACGCTATCATAAGGGTGCACGTTACAAATCTCATACCCAGGGCCATGCACAGTCGAAACATACGGGTATTACTGCACACAAGACCTTGTTACCTGCGGTGCACAGACACCTCTTTCTACAACTATTGTAAATAACTATCAAATGAAAAAATAGGTACCCCAGTAATTTACAGTCAAAGTTTTGCCTATAACACACTCCCCCCAACTAGAGAAATGTCGTCCTCGACATTGTGATTAAGATATATAGTTAGTTAGTTAGTTAGTTAGTTAGTTAGTTAGTTAGTTAGTTAGTTAGTTAGTTAGTTAGTTAGTTAGTAATTTAGTTAGTTAGTTAGTTAGTTAGTTAGTTAGTCAGTCAGTCAGGTAGTTAGTTAGTCAGTCAGTCAGTCAGTCAGTTACTTAGTCAGTCAGTCAGTCAGTCAGTTAGTCAGTCAGTCAGTCAGTCAGTGAGTGAGTCAGTCAGTCAGTCAGTCAGTCAGTCAGTCAGTTAGTTAGTTAGTTAGTTAGTTAGTTATAGTATATAGTCTAGTTCCATAATTAGAGTCAAAACATTGCATGCAGATACAGTTGTAGTCCAGTCACTATAGACATTAACCTCGAACTAATTAATTACAACAGAATGTTTTCTGCGAAAATCTTGTAGTTCAATGATCCCTTGAAAACATACAAAAAATCTAGAAAAATCCAATTTGCGGAAAGTTGTTTAAAGTCGTATTTTATTTGTACACGGTAAAGCTACTTTGACATGGCCGGAACAGCTCACCATACTGACGTCATCGCAGTCGTATAGTGACGCCATCGGTTTTGTTAATTTCGATGATGAAGAAAATAAAAGTAAGTATACCTATTTGTTGCTTTACAAACGTTTCCACTGATCGGAACTTTTAAAGACCCTAACAAGTGACTGTAACACCATGGTTTCATACAAATGTGTTGCCTCTGTCATTGTTTACAAGATGTGATTAGATCTAGCGGTATCTTTGACAGCATATTGTGACAGAATGGTAATGTGACCCAGTATTGGAGTGAGGAGATGTCTTCGGCTTTTTGGTGAGCGTAGTCGAAATACATGTTGCGGAGGCCTTCGACAACCGACATTCGAAGTCTGTAACTGTAGCGAAATGTGCGTAGTCCGTCTCTCTTGGCGCCGAGGTAACGAGACTGCATGTCGTCCAGTTTGTAATTCAGTTGTACGATCTGTTCACAAGCCCTTCGGAATCGACGTTCATTGTCGAGCAGGATGAAGCGTTGGTGAAGTGGAGAGTTTCCTGCTATGGCCTTCATGCTTTTCAAGAGTATGAATGGTGAATGC